GGGCCGAGGAGGGGGATGGATATAGGTGGAGGTTTGGCTTTTTTTCTGCCGAAAGGCACAAATTGCCACCGTTTTCGATGCCACAAACCCCCACGTCGTTGCTCCGTAAGTTGGGACGGGAACTCACCCCCCTCCCAGGCACGACCAGCTCCGGGGGCTCGGAGCCTGCAGCGGAGATGCTCCGGGGGGGCATCGGACGAGACCCCCTTCTCCCCGCGGCTAAAATCCAACAAATTTCCCTTTCTTCGTGTTTTCCTAATGCCCGCCGGCTTCGGAGCGGAGAAACGGGAAAACCAGTACGACCAGAGCCAGAGTACTGGGAGACGCTGGGATACGGAGCCAGAAAGGCAGAAAGGGCGAAAGCGGCCCCGGGAGGGTGAGAGAAGCCCGAGGGGGGCTCTGCCCGCTTCACACCCGCAAGCGGAGCCCTCCAGCACCCCGTTTCTCCGCAGTTCCCCCGCAAATTTCCCGAGTCTCTGCTGCGGTTGCTAGAGCACCCGATCGCATCTCAACACAAAACTCCAGCAAATTAAAAAATGAAATAAAATAAACCAAACTACTTTCCATCTTCTTGCAGTTTTCTCCCCTTCATTTATTCCGGTTTTGATACGATTCAGAGTTGTGGGATTTCTATTCCCACGAACGATGGAGGTGAATCCTGCCCGAGGTCTGAGCGCCGGCATTTCCATCCCTCCGGAGTGAGGTGGTGGGAAAGGGATTTGGTTTTTGGGGTTCTCAAACCTGCAGCGTACCCTGCTCCCTCTGTGTCTTTCCAGGGTGGCAGCACCCGCAACAGCAAAAAAATTGTCCAAAATTCACATCACAAGCTTCTAATTCCATCCAAGAAAAGGGGAATTTTCTTGAATTTCCACTAAACATCACAGAAAGTTCATATTGAATTTCTCAGCTATCGACCTTCCTTCATGTTATTCACACGGGGTCCCGCTCCCAATTTGATCCCATTATGGAAATGCACCCTCACTGGGAACAGAACCAGCTTTGGGTCTCACTGTGCTTTGGGTTTATCTCTCTGCAGGAAAATGTTTAACGCTCGCTCACCCTTTGGAGGCAGCCGAGACGAAAGCCGACCCCTGCCACCGCCCCAGACAGCGACAGCGGAGAAAACCCCGCGTTTTATTCTCCCAGGCTCAGGTGTTTGAACTGGAGCGGCGATTTAAACAACAAAAATACCTCTCTGCTCCGGAAAGGGAGCACCTCGCCAGTGTGCTCAAGCTCACCTCCACGCAGGTGAAAATCTGGTTCCAAAACCGCAGGTACAAGTGCAAGAGGCAGCGGCAGGACAAATCCCTGGAGCTGGCTGCCCACCCGCTGCCCCCGCGGAGAGTGGCGGTGCCGGTGCTGGTCCGGGACGGCAAACCCTGCCTGGGGGGGTCCCAGCGTTACCCGCTCCCGTACAGCATCACGGCCAGCCCTTACTCCTATAGCTCCTACTACAGCAGCTATTGCAGCAGCCCGTATGGTGGTAGCTATGCAGGGGGGTACACCGGGGTGCCCCCCAATGCTGCACCCACCAGCCCGGCCGGGAATGTGAGCTTGGCCATGGCCAGTGCTGCTCAGCACCAGCCCATGTGCTGGCAAGCCACCGGGCAAGCAGCCATCAGGGCTTGGTAGATGGCCATGGAGGTCAGGACTGTCTGAAAAGCATCAAGAAAAGCCCCTGCTCTGCTCCAGAGCCCAACCTATGTCAGGATGGGAGGTGAATTCGGAGGGTTTTTGCCACCCTGGATAGTGGGACATCATCAGAGCATCTGTTCCCTCCAGGGATAGGGTCACATCTCCACAAAGGTAGGAGAGAAGGGGACACTGCAGCTCCAGCACTGCGACTTTGGGGACTCCGTGACTGTGGACATTTATTTATTTAAGCATAAAAACTTCAGAGTCTGGGCCTCACTGCTCCGGAGGGTTTGCTCCTCCAGGGCACCAGTGCACGGTCATCAGCGGGCTGTGAGCACTGGTTTTCTTCCTAAGGACGACTGGAAAACAGGGTCTGTGCACATCACTGTGCCTTCACGTTTTTATAAACACTATTTAACGCCTGGAGTTCCTCTAATCTTTGGAGATACATTTCTGATTTATATTTCTTAATATCACCCAGCACGGGTGTTCATTTCTGTCTTTATTATTATTATTATTTGCAAATAAAAACCAAATTGATGAAATTGTGTGTTTTCACTCTCTCCCCACTCCTGACCTAGTATTTCGACTTTTCCTATCCACAAGTGGCATTTGAGCACCAAATTCTGATCCAAAGAAAAAAAAAATCCCACCAAAATCAATCTTAACACTTAATAATTAACCCAGAAAGGTAATTACCTCATGGTCCAAGCACTGCAAGGATATATATATATATATATACACTGTGATGGAGCCAGGCTGCATCCTGCACACAACTCCCACTGCATGGGGACAAAATCCCCCCCTCACAACCTCCATCCCCACTCCTTTCCCAACAGCTCCTTATCCTCCCAGTATTCGGCAACGAGAGACTTGCAGGAGGCAATTAAGCTTTTATCTCTAATCCCACTCAGCCCCATCACTCCAACGTTCGCTCACTTCCCAAATGGGACATCCCTGACATCCACATCAAACCCAAAAAACCCCTCTCGACGCGACAGCCGACCTGCACCGAGGCTTTGCAGCTCTGGGTAAGGCGACAGCTGCCCCTTCTCCTCCCGTCCATCCATCCACACTCACTCGGAGATATCTCCCAAAATCCCAGCTTTTGGGGGCTCAATGGGGTCCTTGCAGTGGGAAATGCATCAGGGAACGCCCTGGAAAACAGCAGCATCCCCAGTGCAGGGGCTCACCTGCGAGGCGCAACAGCACTGAGATTTTCCCTTTGAGGTTCAGCAATAAAATGAGGCAAAACACATGAAATTCCCCCCCCAGATGAGCTCAGAAATCAAAGGATGAAATTGTCACCCTGCCCAGCTCAGTAAAAAAAAAGCCTGAAAATGAGAATTACGAGCTCTCAAAGTGTCATTTATGCCCCTACACAAACAGCATCAGTAGATTTCTTTATTTTGCAGCTGTGGCTGCAAAGCAGAGGTGAAACAGCCCAGCTCTATTTGCAGGAAAACACTTAATTGAAGTGAAATGACCCCCCAGAAGGAAGGGAACTGACCTTTTGCTGGGTCTCACCTTCATGTATCTGTGCTAAAGCCCCAAAATCAGGAGGGGCACAGCTCCCTGACCCCAGTGAGCATCCTGGCTTAGCACTGGTCCTACTGGGGGACCCCCCAGTGCTCCCCCTGCAACCCAGTTCCCCCCTGAACAGCACAGTGGGATCCAGTTCAAGTACTGGAGCGGGCTTTTTTGCTTCATAAGTCCTTCCAAATTCCCTTTCTCAGGCCATAGGAGGATAACAAGACTGAATTATTGAAGCTACTGAAGTTTTCCAAGCATACACTGAATATACAGGAACATTTTCCAAGCTGGGAGCATCAGCAGGCTAAAGAGGGAGAGAAAAGGGCAGG